CATTTAGTGCTGCACCAAGAATTCATCTCCATTACGAGCGTGATGAGAATTGCCTTTGAGAGATCGAGAGTGTTTGTCGCTGATTGAAAGAGACGAGTCCACAAAGGCCCAGCGGTCTTTTTTTAATCCTGTTAAACGCTATGGATATCATCCTCACGGGGTGATATTGGCGCACGCTTCATAAATCGAGAAAGACAGAAGGGTAATGGCCCTGAAATCATGTTAAACTAAAACTCGTGTAAAACGATGTGACGCCTACCTGCTTGGGTCTAGGGAAATCTCCAACTTCTATGCTTTTTCATACTAACTACATGTTTACGTGTAAAATGAATATAAGAAAAGCAAATAAGTTTTTATTTGGCGTTTTTAAATATACTGGAGTGCTATAGTGAAAAAAAACGAAAATAGCCACTTCTGTGGGCGTTTTCATATTACCCAGCAATTGTCGTGCTGTAGTTTTGTATATTCATAAAAATACGTTAACGAAAATGCTAGAGTATGTTTAATGAGACAAGTGTCCAAGGATGAGGGCTACAAAATACGATTTTACATAGACAACCATGTATGTCACCTCTAAAAGTCTAACAAACCCGTTGGCATAGATGCACAAGCATGTGCTTTTGAATGCAAATTTTTGATAGGGGGAGAAATTTTCTTTTACAGATGTGACCAAAACAATCAGTATTGAATAAGACTGGATAGGCTTTGACAGGATATTTATAGAGAAAAAAAAAACAGTGGTAGACAAGCGCCTACTGTGAAGCAGTAAGAGGTAACTTTGAAATACACTTCAAGGCCATTAAGTCCAGAAGGTGACAAAAAAGTAAATACTTCTTGCAGAAATATAGCTATATAATGCTTGCAAAAATGTGTGCACTTAGTTCATCCAGCGTAAACTGTTAGGACAGCTCGTACGGCAGCTTTAGACATCTGTAAGATAAGATCATATGGACCGGTCCTACGACTTCTTATTTGACGCCACCGCGGTTATCGTATACTGATATGTCATTGGTTAATTAAGGACCACGGTAAGTCGTTTCAACTCCTGGAATATTACGTCTTCAGCATCAAACGGCGCTTAGAACTATTTTAACAACAACAAATAAAAAACGTTTTAGTTTTAACTTTATGAAACAAGGGTCAATGTAGTGGTATGTATTTTAAAATAGCCCTCAACGTCAACGCCGCGCACAGATACGTGTAAATGATGGACAGACGTTGGAAAGGAAAGAAAATTATTGTAAATTTTGTAGCACTGAAAGGAAAACCGGTTAACCGATTTAATTAACTTATTTTGAGTTCTTTATTTACAGCTTTTCTAGGATAGAGCATATGTAGGATAGTTGAGGGAGCAGGATCTATGGCTGCCTTCGATCAGGTCAAGAAATGAGAAATAAAAAGCCCTTTATTTTAACTTCAGAGCATAATAATGAACTGAAATATGAGCTCCAAAGGCAAGTGATATACTGAAACAGGACAAAAACAAAACAATAAAGGTTAAACGAGTGTCATCAAACGTTTTAACCTGATTTGGGTTCTTACAGTAAGTGCTCTCACTAAGCCGTACGGATATTATCAAAGGCGAATCCTATAACATTTTGATGGTTCTACGGAAATTAAGAGGGTATTTTAACGGAGATAACTCAAAGTACCTTGAAAAGATCAATGAAGGGACATTTCTGTCTTGTTTCACTTAATTTTCTCTTTCACATCTGTTTCACCGAAAAGTTCATATTCTCGATACGAGATGATACAGAAAATTATATCATTATATTGGAAATAAGATTTTAAGTGTTTTAATTGCACGTTACTGGTGTGATTTAAATCGTGTCTTAATTGTGTGTGTGTGTGTGTGTGCGCGCGCGCGCACGCGCGTGCGTCACTGGGTACGTTGACGTCTATTCGAAATGTGTGCGTGGGGAGGGGGGGGGGGGCGCAAAGTTATCGATTAATATCAGGGTTGGTGATATGTAATAAGATCTTACAGAAGCAGTACGCGGGCTTTCCATCGGCTTCATCTCAAATAGCGAAATTGCTTTGCTGCCTACTTTTGTGTATCAGATTGTTTTTACGGCTTCGTAACGAAATCATACAACTCCGAAACTAAGATCATAAAATTTGCCACAATGAGTACAGTGTACTGGTGTGAAGAATTTGATTTGGAACAGTGTTATCGCATTCAAATTAATATCTGCACACTAGTGGAAACCGGGTACCATTATTTCAAATATTATTTTCCAAATAGTATTCCCAAACTAATGACAATTGGGCAGTTGACGCTTATTTTTTTCACTCTTTTCCTAAATGTGACATAATATTATGTATTCCAACAAATTAGGTATTTGTAGACCTATGGTCATAAACTTGCATGACGCGAATTCTTAATAAGAGATATATTCAATATATTTTCTTTTCTTTATTTAACAGCTCTTAAGCTTATCCCTGCATATTGACAGGCATTCCTTCGATAACCATTAACTCCACCACCCAGCAGTGCGTAACATTCACGCCGGTTAGCACGTGGCGCTCTTTCTGTATTCTCCATTGTATTTTAATCAACACCAGAGATATAACACTGGGCCATGGGCTATTAAGGAATGAGATGGCATTAAATCGACCCAGTGGATCGTTTTGGCTGTATATAATAGGGTAGATGAAGAAGACATCGAGGTTAAATTCGCGTTTGGATTTAATTTGTTTGGCGATGGTACTCGGACCAGAGCAACATACTTGTAGTGCTTTTAGCGAGTGTGGCATGAGACTGCCTGATGTTTGATTTGTTGTAATTAAAGACAGATATCAACTTTCTGAATTGACAACAGAAAGGAATATCGAAATATACTTTAAATTGAACAGAAGTAGTGAAATTAATGGTTTAGGATACAAGACAGCGATATAATGTGGGAATGATATTAAAAAATAGAAGAATAGAACAGGGAATTGTATCGGTTATTCCGATGTAATTCCCTGAATAGAACGGGAGCATAGTCAGGCTTGCGGCTCTGTGTGCAAAATGACTCGTTATATATAGATAATAATAATAATAATAATAATAATAGTCGTAATTACCGAGAACCGAACATTAACGGACAAACAATGATATTGCGCGCCCACATCTATGATGATCGACTACCGCACAAACCCTGTCTGACACTGCACATTTCTCGAATGACAGATATCAATGTAGCAGAACTTTGACGGCATGGGCTTGCCTGAGAGTATATCAAAGATCTTACGTTATTTGCCTATTTCAAAGAGTTAGTTTATTACAGCAACTACGAGTGATATTCCCACTGGGGCTATTACTGCATGTAGGTCCTGAGCGTCATTTCGCATCAGCTTAATGTTATCTTTCAAATGACAGTTATTACATGTAAGTTCGAACAGGAACCACCTTGCACGAGTCCTAGGTTACATGTACATGGCAGGAGTGACGCGCACGAGGAACTTTAACATACGCATGAGGCGCTGAAGTTCTAATGTTATGCGTACATTGGCATTCACGTCATGTAGTCCATGCGTAGTTGGAAATTGATCATTGACATACCGAAATGAGAATGTTCTCAACGGTAAACGACAGGGATAGGCTGGGTTTATGACTCTGGGAAAATGTTATCTTTTGGGATTTTTCTTTTCCTGAGAGCACAAAGCAGAACTTGAGAAGATGAAGCAACCGAGATTTCCCTTGTGATGTAAGAGCCTCCGACGACATATAAAAATACGTGTCTCTCTAGTGAGGCTTTAGGTAACATGCTAGTATTTGGAGAAAGCACTTTTGTCGAGGCAGTACCTAGGATCTTAGGAATTGGAATCGACAAACAGACTCAGGAACGTAAGGGAGTGTGTAAAATATTCTTAGCAAGCCATACAAACAGTTATTAAGGCGATGGTCAACAAAAAATACACTGGAAGATAAAGCTGTAATTACTGAGATTCCAGTGAACATTCGAAGACCAGACAAAACACGAAGCGATTCAAAACTACCTACTGGACTAACGCCAAATAATATTCCACGCATCATTTCTAAGTAAACTTCTTTGGGCACTCCGAGGATTTTTTCACTGATGTATCTATAATTCAGTGGGCATTAACACCTCATTCCTACTATTCCCAACACAGAATTTAAGGTGCGCATTTTTGGCTTACAGCTGCATAAAAAGAATCTCTGAACGCCTTTTATATTCCTATGGGCGTCTTCAACAGCTACCATAAAGAAGACGTTACATGAAGTAGCCATAAAGATGTTTGAAATGAAAAAGTGAAACAGCGAAGACTTTGCATTCCAGCAGGAACAAACTATGTCATTTTTTCTTCGAAACTAGTGTATCTGGAAAGAACTGGAAATCATGTATTAAAGTCATCTTCATCCGCCGCTGAGCTATACCGGATGTATTTTTCACGACTCTGTAGTTCAGTTCAAGCTTGAGAAGCACGCGACTCTCAGTCTCAAAATATGAGCATCGTTCTGTGGATGATCAAAAATTTAGTCATTTCCATCATGTTATTGCGCCATGTTAATTCAGTACGTTTACCAACCCAAGCACCGACTGCGATACGAAGAGAATGTAAAGTGCCTTGTGCTTAGAGAGCCAATGTGTTTGTATGTTCTGTGACTATTGGATTGACTGGAGCGGATTGTACAGGTACAAATGATCCAAGAACTTTTCCAACATCGTGTTAGAGTGCTCTCAAACAGTTACTCGTATATCTTTTGTTCCATGCTTTTTAAAGACGCAGCACACAACGAACTCCACTGTTGGACGATTTGAGCTGTTTGGGCACTGTGTTAGAAAAGAGCCAGAGTGAAAGGCAACGTTATGTAGGAATCGCGAACTGTATTCTCAGGCTGGCATACGCCTGAAAAAAACATTTCGGGCAAAACAACTCAATCTCAGTTAAAGGAGTTATAGGCTTGAATAAGTATCAGTACAAAAAATCAATTAACATTCCAGGAAGCGTAGAGAAACTTCACCGGTGTAATAAAAGACACGCGCTAAACCATGAATAACTCAACATTTAGCGAGGACTGTGGGGAATTTGACACCCCAGTCACAAGGATAGTGCTTACGACCATAGTGGCATCCATCTGTTTCGTTGGAATTCTAGGGAACAGTCTTGTTATTTATGTGGTATGGAGTCATCACCATATAAACCCTCTATTCTTGAACCTGGCGATAGCAGATTTGTTGTTCAACCTTTTTTGCCTGCCTATTACGGCAGCCCATTACGCCCTAGGGAACGACGTACACTTGGGGCAGTTTGTGTGCAAGACGTACATGTACGCCACGTATGTCACAATGGGCGTCAGTATCTATTCTCTTGTTGCTATATGCGCTGTGCGGTACGCATGTATTGCGTACCCACTGTACGTACACTCGGCACTTGGGCGGAAGACGGCGTACATAGCAAGTGGTCTCACGTGGGTGGCCATGTTGATTCTTAACTCGCCAATCCCCGTCATTATGCTAGAGGACGCCGGGCGTCGGTGCACTTCAAGGGACAAGACGAACACCGTTTATTACATTTACGCCTTCGTTATCGTTGGAGCAGACTTTGCACTGCCTTTGAGCGTCATAGCCGTGCTTTCGGTGCTCATTATCTATCGACTACGCTCAATGCGCGATGTGCAGAGACGCATGTCCCAATATCAGGTGACTTGCGCGTCCCCAAGCATGCATCACGCTTCCAAAAGTGCCACAAAGCGTGTGATGGCTCTGGTTCTTCTGGTCGTTGCCGTCTTTCTTATCTGCTGGACCCCAGGCATGGTTTTGTTCTTATGGAACATCATAACAGTATTGGGACCGGACAGTAGTGTCGTATCTGGGAAAACTTCCTGTCATCAAAGGGGTGTTATGTACATAGTACAAGACATTGCCGCCATTATGGCTTTTAGCAGTTCAAGCCTGAACCCATTGGTTTACAATTTCGGTTCAGAGGAGTTTCGGAAAGCTTTCGTTCAGGCATTAACGCCGAGACACATGTTGAGAAACAGACGGCGGAGTTCTGCGTCTGCCTCTGGGATCGGTATGATAAGGAGGTGTGAATTTAGTGCTCGTAGGACGAGATCCAACAGAAGATCAGAAGTTTGAAACGTTTCGATAGTCCACCCCATCTCTCTCTCCCCCTCACCTTCTCCTTTCTCTCTCTCTCTCTTTCTCTCTCTCTCTCTCTCTCTCTCTCTCTCTCACACACACACACACACACACACACGTGCACGCTCGCACGCACGCACTATACAGATAAGGTTAAATTGACGAAAAAAACAAAAGATTTACAGGTGGATTTTTAGTTGGTATACTTTAAATAAACATTCACAGGATATCACAGGTACATTGTAGTTGTTTTGCATCGTCATAACCCAATGAAAGGGACATTCAAATGATATTTTCATATTTTGACAGCAAGCTCTACGTTTTGCGGGGAATTAAAAATCACGCCAATTGACATCGGCCATATTGGGAAAGTCAACTCATCCCTTGAAAAAACATGGTCTGTTTCGGTCAAAATTGGACCTTACTATTTGTAGAACCATTGACAAAATTCGTAATTTTTCCAGGGTAGAAACGAATAATAGAATTATCTAATTAAGTCTTTTAATTTTTAATGTCATTCTTGTGACAGTAAAGTTGTGAAGTCTCAACTCCGATGTGCTCGAAGTATTTACAGAAGAGCTAGTCTATATTATACTGTATATTATTCTGTCAAGGTTTAACAGGTGGTTAGAAAAGTTATAGGGAAAATGCTAACGTCAGCACATCCCACAGGATAGCTGAATTTGACATGCACGTATATTGAAAACGCAAATTGGATAAGGTCAAGTGCTTATATATCCCTAAAATTGTATTACTTAGTCATGGGGAAGGTCTGTGTGGGCCTCCTTAGTGTCAGTTTACACAGAACGCCAACCCTCATATTCAATAAGCATTCCGCTTCCGTTTCAGGGAAGTTCTGATCTTCAGGGTGATCCGATTACTGAGCGATATCACCCAGATGTTGTTGTCATTTTTCACTGAAAGATTTCATTCCTCTTTTGCTCGTTTTGCCGTGACTTGTTGAATATAAACGTCTAATGCCACACCTAAGCACTGAGTGGTAGTTTGGCGAAAGGTAGATCATCTGCGTTTGAAAATATCACAAAGACTCATTTTTTGTCTACATATTTTTCACACAGACTTATTTTCCAAATTCGGACATTAAAATCTATAAAATCCTTTAAAATAGCTCACTTCGATATTTCCGTCTGAAATGCACAGGATGACCTGGGCGATCTATATGACTGGTTACTCATTTAGACCTAATTCATATTTAAGTAATAAGAGATGGTATAGAACATCAGATCCAATTACAGGGAGGGGTCGTACAATGATATCTGAGTAGGAAACTATGTCCTATTTTTTTCTCGGAAAATTCGATTTGGTGGGAAATTCCCGGAGATGATATCTTAAATTGTTTCGATTTGAGATTGTATTTGATTCTGTAATATAGAGGCAGTTGCTGATCGGGGGAGGGGGTAATTGTATTATCCTAGTGCTCTACATATTGTGCTAAATTCTCCTCTTCTGCCTTTTCTATTTTTTAAAAATCTCTTTGCCCTCCACTCCACTCCACCCCACACTTTAGCAAAAATTATTTCAGCTGATTTATCGTGTTGTTGGAGACTTCATAAGTTCTCTAATATAGATTGTGAGGTGTTTTCACATCTGAGGTTTCAGCGACGGACAAAATTGCCTTGCATCGTAATAGTTATTAGCTAAGCTCATCCATTTGCAAAAGATAATAGAGTCTCTTTTGTCATTTTTTTTCTCTCTGTTGGCATGGAACCTAGATCCCAGGTGTACCGACTGTGGGCCCTGGATGGAATGCTGAAATTTCTGATCATGTTCACATTGCATGGCTCTGGAAATGAAATGCATTTTATATTCTCTAGTTAATTCTCTAGTGCACGTGCGTTCAGTGCTCTCCTCATATACAAATGGAGTAGGCTTGGTCGATTACGTGCAATGACTCCAAAGTTTCATATCATTGCACAGATGATTTTTTCAATATTTTTATCTAATGTTTCACCCGTTCCTGTCCCTCGCCAAATAATTAAAGACATGATTGACTTCGATTTCAGACCGACTTATTCCAATATAGAAGAAAAATGTCGGGGAAATATCGGGAAAATTACGTATTCTCTGGAGTAAAATGTGTCTAAACATAACACAGCCGTTGAAGTCAGTTACACTCCGAGTCAGACATATTTTCCGCGATGTTCACCGTTTTGGCCCCACTCGCAAACAATTTCATGGAGACGCTAATTTTTTCACCTTGCGGTTGACAGAATTAACCCCTATTATATGTAATTACATGTAATCGATGGTGGCAGAGTTGCTAGCAGTATTCGCTGCAATACTTTGAAGTATAAAAAAAAACATATATGTAAGAGCATGGTTACAATTTTTCAAGCATGAAAGAGGCGGAGAGGCCATTACAGGATTAAGCGGTCTTCCTTTCATGTAAGTCCGCCATATTGAGGCCATGGACCAGCTAGCACTCGGCTTTTCTCATTCTGAATGGCCCCATACAGAAGGATAAAGTACAATAAGCTTCTATCTCAACGCGTATGCTTTTTAGTCCGTTTCTAGACCAAGTTTAAATTGACACAAACGTTTTCCTTGTTGGAATCGGACTAAGCGAGATGCATTGCAGGATAATGTTGGTCTTATCTTGTTCCACAGAGCGCTGTGGAAGAAACGCTACCGTTGTGTGACAAACAGTAATAGCTGCTTCCATATCTATCATAATTGCTGAAAGGCTTGGCATTTTAAAATCGAGAAGCCCGGTAATAGGACATGAAAAGAAAAGTACAATAAGTTAAATTAAATATGGCTGTACAGGAACGCAATGGCAGAAGTCAAATAAATTTGTCAATCTGGGAGTGAAACAGCCTCAAGCCATTTCAGAAACTCTTTCATTAGCAAAAGACAATGCAATATCTGCACTGGGAAATGCTATCCTCTCTTCTAGCATGATATGCATCAGTCAATTTCGGTGATGTAAATACCTTTAGACTTTTCAGTGACATTAGCTAAAGGCACTTTAATTAATGCGCTGGGACTCACTCTCCTTAACAGTCAAATGGATTTTTCAACTTAAGAGATGAAGAAGATTAAGACATATCGGGCTCTCTGTTTCTACAGTAGTTAACATCAACTGCAGGAACGTAGGCGAATTGCATGCGTGACGTGGGTAAAAATAGAACAATTTTCTATATTAAACAATTGGCCTTTAAAGATATATTTATTTATATACTGCTTGTTGTGCCTAATGCACTTTAACCTGTTTAATTCAAACAAAATATAGGTAAGTGAGAAAAGCTGCTTGGAACGATTACAGATAAAAAAGAATTTTTGTCAAGCTTGCCAAAATGAAAAAAAAAAGGTTTGGAAAATATGCTCGTGTACAGTGATTTGAATGATTGGCGCATGTGCAAAAGACTGGTCTTGAACTAAAGAATATCAGATTGCAATAAAAAAACTCCCAGAACAATGAAAAAAGAGGATATAATTCTAAATAGTAGGCCTATATACAGCTACTCTGTATTTTGCATAAAACGGAGCGGTGAAAACCTCGTTTTGTCTGTTTATACACACACACTGGACAAAAGAAGTGTCACCCCTACCAATACTTTGGGGGGGGGGGGATAAATGACTGTGGAATGATATGCTCCTGGTATCATTTTATTAACATCAAATTTCACAAAAAGACCAACCATACAACTCCATGGTACAGCGGTTTCATACTCATTAGTCACATTATAAGTAGACCAGGCATTATAACTGCTCAAGATCTACATGTACCTACTTTGATTACTCTGATTCAGGGGGTGACACTTCTATTGTCCATTGTGTTTATGTACACATACGAACTCTTGAGAGAACAGCATCCCTAGTTTGATCAGCAAACAAAGAACAATGTTCCCCCCAAATCCTGCGATTCTCTTTTTCACGGTACACAGAATAGAAAGAAAGAACTAAGAGCTCATTTCAAGGTGAATACCTACAATTGAGCCCAAGGTAAGAGTTTTTTATTTTTCTTTTGGGGAAATTTTGTCTTGAAAACTTCGCTTTTTTCCAAGTTTTTTAGTTGTAAGCAGTAAATTGGTCGTACTCTGTTTATATTGCTTGCTCAGATTCTCCACAAATTCAGTTCAAATTTGTGTCCTTTTGATGAATTGTGGTAGAACTATGTATTCTTTGTGAAGAAAAAGCCCTAAAAACATCTGAACTTTCAGGGCATTCCATACCAATGCAACGTCGTAAAGTGATGGCCTGATTTCAGAGATATGCAGGAAGCATGTGGTTAGCTATGCATACCATTTATTAAGCTAGAATCCATAAGCAATACATGAACAATCGCGCCTTATTCGTATCTGTATTAAATATTATGTAATGAAAATTATTATTTATAATAATTATTATCATTTAAACGACAAAAAGATAACCCGAGATAACCCTAAAATAATTGGACATCTTGGCTACAGTGCGCTGAAATCAATAAGATATTACATGAGTATTGATGATGAATTACCCATGGACACGAGACACGAACGATCACTAATAAGACGCTTTGAAATCAATTAACGACGCTTTTAAGCAGTTCGTATGCCCTGGATATAATTGATGATGCTGCATAGGCTGGGTCTAAAGCATGTTGTAAAGCAATCAGTTTCTTACTGTGGACTGATGATTATTCCCAAATAAAAATCAGCCACGCGCAGAGCGTGGAGCATTCTCGTGGTGTCTGCATTTACATGCGCAATTAATCGGAACAGCGGTCGTTCAGTTTAGGAAGCTACAATGTATAATAACAGTATACGTGCTCAATCTCGGCTTCAATTAGTTAATATTAGTATTTGTTGAAAACAAGTGGCATTTGACAATCCCCTGAAGATTTGTCCATATACCACGCACTGCAGAGTATTCAGAAAGAATCATTTAAGTCTGTGCAGACCATATATTGAATAGGAAGAGGCAGACAAACCGTCCGTTATTAAATGATGTTTTTAATAGCTGATTATAATGGCTGCATTATAGTCCCACGCACAGGATGTTGGCTAGCGATGCGTTCAAAATGATTGAGAGCCTTATTAAATTAATACGACCCGTTCTTTTCAGATAACAAGGCAATGAACTAACAAACTAACTAACGCTCTGATGTGATGATTTCTTAGTGTTGGTACCAGAGGGGATTGGGGGCGGGCATGCATCGAGCAGGAAACATCAAGAAGTAAATAATTAAAGAAAATATAAATAAATAAATAAATAAATAAATAAATAAATAAATAAATAAATAAATAAATAAACAAACAACTGTAGTGAAATAATATAAAATGAGATATTACGAATAATCAGTAGCAAAGTAACTCTGTGTTTCAGAGCCTTTTTAAACTAGATCTAACACAGGTTCACCGTAGCACCGCGCTATGTTGCTGTAGCCGAGTTCTGAATATGCCTTGGAATTCAGGGTAATTAGAGATAATCTTAATTGCATCACCAAACCATTGATACGAAACAATTTATCACAAATATATTATTTAAGCTCGATTTTGTTTTATCTAATTACACAGATGGTCGGACTTCATTTATCACCCGTCACTCATTTCACTTTATTCATTTATTTTGCCAAGTCTTTTTTTTTTTATTTTGTATGCGGATCAAGTAATACTGTACGCCGGTACGTACACTGTATATACTGAATAGGAACTGATCAGCGAAAGGCAGGTAGGATGGAGATTTTGGAGCGCACCTGCTGGGTTTAGGAAGATATATGCATATAGAGATGTTCATTTTAATTCATTTTGACTTTGGGATATTTATATATTTTCTTCATAAATGTATGAGTATGAGTACTTTGAGCAAAAATGTTCATTAGCTTGGTTGTTGGATATACATGAAATTCTCAAACACAAGCCTCAATTTTTTTTTTCATACGGTTCGCTTACGGCCTGATGAAGGCCTTCGACCAGGTTGGCCGGAAGCTAACGGTATGAAAAAAAATTGAGGCTTGTGTTTGAGAATTTCATGTATATGAGTCCTTTGTTTGCAAAATGGACGTGTCTTCTGATCTCTACTTGCACCCCCCCTCCCACCACTCGTAATTGTCATTTTTTCTACGCACCCCCCCTCTCCAATTTTCCAGTCCAGGACAGTTGAAAAAAAAATGATTGGCTCAGCTCTTCGTGATTTCCTCAACCTTGTTGATCTACTCCGTTCCATTTTGAGATTTTGAGGAATGATTTTGCAACTGGAGAAGAGATTACACTAGCGGAACACTTGATTGATGTATGTTAGAAAAGAAAATTAACCCAACAGATTCAGTGAAGTTATAAATACCGGGTAACACCGCTATTGCAACAAAACCAGACCCCTTAAACTAGACAGCTGGTAGTTTGGATTTTCTTCTTCCTAAATGTTCTTCATTTTCTTTTCTAATTTGAGTGGTTTTCTGACCTTATGGCAATGCTCATTGGGCATTCGTGCCGGGCGCTCTTGGAGTGATTTCTGTTTCTCATTTATTCTTTGAAAAGTAAAATCCCAACTGACTCGAGTACATGTGATCGAGAAAAAGTAAGTCTTCTTTCTCTTTGTCAGCAAAATAAATGAGCTCAAAATATATCCAACAGAAAAGGACATATAAAAAGAATCAGAAAGGAATGCTACAAATTTTAAGATTTTTCTGATATCACAGAAATCTAAAATGAAAAAAATTGAACTAGTTGCAATAACGAAAAGTTACTTTTATTGATTTGCAAGGCGAGAGTCGCATTACACACACTCTCTCTCATTTTGCGTAACCCAACGAGAATTAATGAGAAAGTATTGTATTTAGTTTACAAAATTGAACATTTTAGTTCTGGGTAGTAGATTCAAAAACAGTTTGGTTATTTTTGGCATTTATCGCAATGAACATTTAGTACAATTAAGTATATATTGGGTAAATTTTATTGTCATTCCTTTCTTTTTGTGATTGAGTCAAATTTGTCCAGTCAACCGTTTCTTCAGAGACCTTTCCGGGTGTTACTTGGAGTATCAAAGTCACACACCTCAAACACAGTTGTAGCATCCACGTACTTAATGTCAGGACAGTTAGCTATATATCGGTCCTATTATATCATGTTGTGATATCGGGTTTATTTGTTTACTTTTTTATTCAGTTGCCTGAAACACTACATGTATATTAAAACAGGTTTTGATCGTTCTTACGATTAGTTTTTTTCTTCATGCGCAAAATATCTATACTGGTACACCAGGGGTCTGGCCTGTTTCACATGAAATAGTTTAGTCCGACAATCGAGCTTTACCTTTGGAGCGCATTCAGAACAGCGGACTAACAGATCCACGGATCAAATATGGCGACCCACTAAAAAGCGATTAGACACTGTATAGATTCCTCGCGGGGATTACACAAGAGCCATTCAAGTGGGTGGGTCATATTTCTGTTAATCTGCTGTTCTGAATGCGCTCTTAGGCCCCTTTCAGAAAAGGCGACTTACTAGTCCGAGGGTCAACTATGGCCGACCCACTTGAATACTTCCCCACGGGATTTCTATTCAGTGTCTAATAGCGGATTAGCCGGCAAGCTTTGTAGTGGGTCGCCATATTTGACCCTCGGACTAGTTAGTCCCCTATTCTGAATGGGTCCTTAGACCCTCATTGTAGTCTGCTTTGACCCAAGATGGACCAGTAGTCGGTCATGATCAATTGAATNATAGTCGTAAACACCGAGAACCGAACATTAACGGACAAACAATGATATTGCGCGCCCACATCTATGATGATCGACTACCGCACAAAACCTGTCTGACACTGCACATTTCTCGAATGACAGATATCAATGTAGCAGAACTTTGACGGCATGGGCTTGCCTGAGAGTATATCAAAGATCTTACGTTATTTTCCTATTTCAAAGAGTTAGTTTATTACAGCAACTACGAGTGAAATTCCCACTGGGGCTATTACTGCATGTAGGTCCTGAACGTCATTTCGCATCAGCTTAATGTTATCTTTCAAATGACAGTTATTACATGTAAGTTCGAACAGGAACCACCTTGCACGAGTCCTAGGTTACATGTACATGGCAGCAGTGACGCGCACGAGGAACTTAAACATACGCATGAGGCGCTGAAGTTCTAATGTTATGCGTACATTGGCATTCACGTCATGTAGTCCATGCGTAGTTGGAAATTGATCATTGACATTCCGAGATGATGTGTACTGCCAGAATGTTCTCTACGGTAAACGACAGGGATAGGCCGGGTTTATGACGACGATTCTTCTGGGAAAATGTTATTTTTTGGCATTTCTTTTCCTGAGAGCACAAAGCAGAACTTGAGAAGATGAAGCATCCGAGATTTCCCTTGTGATGCAAGAGCTTCCGACGACATATAAAAATACGTGTCTCTCTAGTGAAGCTTTAGGTAACATACTAGTATTTGGTGAAAACACTTTATTCAAGGATCTTAGGAATTGGAATCTACAGACAGACTCAGGAACGTAATTGTTATTAACAACAAAAATACACTAGAAGATATAGCTGTAATTACTGAGATTCCAGTGAACATTCGAAGACCAGAAAAAACACGAAGCGATTCAAAAGTACCTACTGGACTAACGCCAAACAATATTCCACGATTCATTTCTAAGTAAACTTCTTTGGGCACTCCGAGGAATTTTTCACTGATGTATCTATAATTCAGTGGGCATTAACACCTCATTCCTACTATTCCCAACACAGAATTTAAGGTGCGCATTTTTGGCTTACAGCTGCATAAAAAGAATCTCTGAACGCCTTTTCTATTCCTATGGGCGTCTTCAACAGCTACCATAAAGAAGACGTTACATGAAGTAGCCATAAAGATGTTTGAAATGAAAAAGTGAAACAACGAAGACTTTGCATTCCAGCAGGAACAAACCATGTCATTTTTTTTCGAAACTAGTGTATCTGGAAAGAACTGGAAATCATGTATTAAAGTCATCTTCGTCCGCCGCTGAGCTATACCGGATGTATTTTTGACGACTCTGTAGTTCAGTTCAAGCTTGAGAAGCGCGCGACTCTCAGTCTCAAAATATGAGCATCGTTCTGTGGATGATCAAAAATTTAGTCATTTCCGTCATGTTATTGCGCCATGTTAATTCAGTACGTTTACCAACCCAAGCACCGACTGCGATACGAAGAGAATGTAAAGTGCCTTGTGCTTAGAAAGACAATGTGTTATTATGTTCTATGACTATTGGATTGACTGGAGATGATTGTACAGGTACAAATAATCCCAGAACTTTTCCAACATCGTGTTACAGTGCTCTCAAACAGTTACATGTATATCTTTTGTTCCATGCTTTTCAAAGACGCAGCACACAACGAACTCAACTGTTAAGAAGAATTGGACGATTTGAGCTGTTTGTTAGAAAAGAGCCAGAGTGAAAGGCAACGTTATGTAGGAATCGTGAACTGTATTCTCAGGCTGGCATACGCCTGAAAATAACCTTTCGGGCAAAACAACTCAATCTCAGTTAAAGGAGTTATAGGCTTGAATAAGTATCAGTACAGAAAATCAATTAACATTCCAGGAAGCGTAGAGAAACTTCACCGGTGTAATAAAAGACCCACTATAAACCATGAATAACTCGACATTTAGCGAAGACTGTGGGGAATTTGACACCCCAGTCACAAGGATAGTGCTTACGACCATAGTGGCATCCATCTGTTTCGTTGGAATTCTAGGGAACAGTCTTGTTATTTATGTGGTATGGAGTCATCACCATATAAACCCTCTATTCTTGAACTTAGCGATAGCAGATTTATTATTCAACCTTTTTTGCCTACCTATTACGGCAGCCCATTACGCCCTAGGGAACGACGTACACTTGGGGCAGTTTGTGTGCAAAACGTACATGTACGCCACGTATGTCACAATGGGCGTCAGTATCTATTCTCTTGTTGCTATATGCGCTGTGCGGTACGCATGTATTGCGTACCCACTGTACGTACACTCGGCACTTGGGCGGAAGACGGCGTACATAGCAAGTGGTCTCACGTGGGTGGCCATGTTGATTCTTAACTCGCCAATCCCCGTCATTATGCTAGAGGACGCCGGGCGTCGGTGCACTTCAAGGGACAAGACGAACACCGTTTATTACATTTATGCCTTCGTTATCGTTGGAGCAGACTTTGCACTGCCTTTGAGCGTCATAGCCGTGCTTTCGGTGCTCATTATCTATCGACTCCGCTCAATGCGCGATGTGCAGAGACGCATGTCCCAATATCAGGTGACTTGCGCGTCCCCAAGCATGCATCACGCTTCCAAAAGTGCCACAAAGCGTGTGATGGCTCTGGTTCTTCTGGTCGTTGCCGTCTTTCTTATCTGCTGGACCCCAGGCATGGTTTTGTTCTTATGGAACATCATAACAGTATTGGGACCGGACAGTAGTGTCGTATCTGGGAAAACTTCCTGTCATCAAAGGGGTGTTATGTACATAGTACAAGACATTGCTGCCATTATGGCTTTTAGCAGTTCAAGCCTGAACCCATTGGTTTACAATTTCGGTTCAGAGGAGTTTCGGAAAGCTTTCGTTCAGGCATTAACGCCGAGGCACATGTTGAGAAACAGACGGCGGAGTTCTGCATCTGCCTCTGGGATCGGTATGATAAGGAGGTGTGAATTTAGTGCTCGTAGGACGAGATCCAACAGAAGATCAGAAGTTTGAAACGTTTCGATAGTCCACCCCATCTCTCTCTCCCCCTCACCTTCTCCTTTCTCTCTGTCTCTTTCTCTCTCTCTTTCTCTCTCTCTCTCTCTCTCTCACACACACACACACACACACACGTGAACGCTCGCACGCACTCACTATACAGATAAGGTTAAATTGACGAAAAAAAAAACAAAAGATTTACAGGTGGATTTTTAGTTGGTATACTTTAAATAAACATTCACAGGATATCATAGGTACATTGTAGTTGTTTTGCATCGTCATAACCCAATGAAAGAGACATTCAAGTGATATTTTCATATTTTGACAGCAAGCTTTACGTTTTGCGGGGAATTAAAAATCACGCCAATTGACATCGGCCAAATTGGGAAAGTCAACTCATCCCTTGAAAAAACATGGTCTGTTTCGGTCAAAATTGGACCTTACTCTTTGTAGAACCATTGACAAAATTCGTAATTTTTCCAGGGTAGAAACGAATAATAGAATTAATCTAATTAAGTTTTTTAAATTTTTAATGTCATTTTTGTGACAGTAAAGTTGCGAAGTCTCAGCTCCGAGGCGAAGTATTTACAGAAGAGCTAATCTATATTATACTGTATATTATTTTGTCAAGGTTTAACAGGTGGTTAGAAAAGTTATAGGGAAAATTCTAACGTCAGCACATCCCACAGGATAGCTGAATTTGAAATGCACGTAGGGGGGGGCCTATATTGAAAACGCAAATTGGATAAGGTCAAGTGCTTATATATCCCTAAAATTGTATTACTTAGTCATGGGGAAGGTCTGTGTGGGCCATCCTTAGTGTCAGTTTACACAGAACACCAACCCTCATATTCAATAAGCATTTCGCTTCCGTTTCAGGGAAAATCTGATCTTCAGGGTGATCCGATTACTGAGCGATATCACCCAGATGTTGTTGTCATTTTTCACTGAAAGATTTCATTCCTCTTTTGCTCGTTTTGCCGTGACTTGTTGAATATAAACGTCTAATGCCACACGTTCGCACTGAGTGGTAGTTTGGCGAAAGGTAGATCATCTGCGTTTGAAAATATCACAAAGACTCATTTTCTGTCTACATATTTTACACACAGACTTATTTTCCAAATTCGGACATTAAAATCTATAAAATCCTTTAAAATAGCTGACTTCGATATTTCCGTCTGAAATGCACAGGATGACCTGGGCGATCTATATGACTGGTTACTCATTTAGAACTAAATCATATTTAAGTAATAACAGATGGTATAAAACATCAGATCCAAGTACAGGGAGGGGTCGTACAATGATATCTGAGTAGGAAACTATGTCCTATTTTTTTCTCGGAAAATTCGATTTGGTGGGAAATTCCCGGAGATGATATCTTAAATTGTTTCGATTTGAGATTGCATTTGATTCTGTAATATAGAGGCAGTTGCTGATCGGGGGAGGGGGTAATTGTATTATCCTAGTGCTCTACATATTGTGCTAAATTCTCCTCTTCTGCCTTTTCTATTTTTTAAAAATCTCTTTGCCCTCCACTCCACCCCACACTTTAGCAAAAATTATTTCAGCTGATTTATCGTGTTGTTGGAGACTTCATAAGTTCTCTAATATAGATTGTGAGGTGTTTTCACATCTGAGGTTTCAGTGACGGACAAAATTGCCTTGCATCGTAATAGTTATTAGCTAAGCTCATCCATTTACAAAAGATAATAGAGTCTCTTTTGTCTTTTTTTTTTCTCTCTGTTGGCATGGAACCTAGATCCCAGGTGTACCGACTTTGGGCCCTGGATGGAATGCTGAAATTTCTGATCATGTTCACATTGCATGGCTCTGGAAATGAAATGCATTTTATATTCTCTAGTTAATTCTCTAGTGCACGTGCGTTCAGTGCTCTCCTCATATACTAATGGAGTAGGCTTGGTCGATTACGTGCAATGACTCCAAAGTTTCATATCATTGCACAGATGATTTGTTCAATATTTTTATCTAAACAGTTTGGTAATGTTTCACCCGTTCCTGTCCCTCGCCAAATAATTAAAGACATGATTGACTTCGATTTCAGACCGACTTATTCCATTATAGAAGAAAAATGTCGGGGAAATATCGGGAAAATTACGTATTCTCTGGAGTAAAATGTGTCTAAACATAACACAGCCGTTGAAGTCAGTTACACTCCGAGTCAGACATATTTTCCGCGATGTTCACCGTTTTGGCCCCACTCGCAAACAATTTCATGGAGACGCTAATTTTTTCACCTTGCGGTTGACAGAATTAACCCCTATTATATGTAATTACATGTAATCGATGGTGGCAGAGTTGCTAGCAATATTCGCTGCAATACTTTGAAGTATAAAAAAAACATATATGTAAGAGCATGGTTACAATTTTTCAAGCATGAAAGAGGCGGAGAGGCCATTACAGGATTAAGCGGTCTTCCTTTCATGTAAGTCCGCCATATTGAGGCCATGGACCAGCTAGCACTCGGCTTTTCTCATTCTGAATGGCCCCATACAGAAGGATAAAGTACAATAAGCTTCTATCTCAACGCGTATGCTTTTTAGACCGTTTCTAGACCAAGTTTAAATTGACACAAACGTTTTCCTCGTTGGAATCGGACTAAGCGAGATGCATTGCAGGATAATGTTGGTCTTATCTTGTTCCACAGAGCGCTGTGGAAGAAACGCTACCGTTGTGTGACAAACAGTAATAGCTGCTTCCATATCTATCAAAATTGCTGAAAGGCTTGGCATTTTAAAATCGAGAAGCCCGGTAATAGGACATGAAAAGAAAAGTACAATAAGTTAATATGGCTGTACAAGAACGCAATGGCAGAAGTCAAATAAATTTGTCAATCTGGGAGTGGAACAGCCTCAAGCCATTTCAGAAACTCTTTCATTAGCAAAAGACAATGCAATATCTGCACTGGGAAATGCTATCCTCTCTTCTAGCATGATATGCATCTGTCAATTTGGGTGATGTAAATACCTTTAGACTTTTCAGTGACATTAGCTAAAGGCACTTTAATTAATGCGCTGGGACTCACTCTCCTTAACAGTCAAATGGATTTTTCAACTTAACAGATGAAGAAGATTAAGACATATCGGGCTCTCTGCCTGTACAGTAGTTAACATCAACTGCAGGAACGTAGGCGAATTGCATGCTTGACGTGGGTCAAAAAAGAACGATTTTCTATATTAAACAATTGGCCTTTAAAGATATATTTATTTATATACTGCTTGTTGTGCCTAATGCACTTTAACCTGTTTAATTGAAACAAAATATAGGTAAGTGAGAATATCTGCTTGGAACGATTACAGATAAAAAAGAATTTTTGTCAGGCTTGCCAAAATGAAAAAAAAAGGTTTGGAAAATATGCTCGTGTACAGTGATTTGAATGATTGGCGCATGTGCAAAAGACAGTGGTCTTGAACTAAAGAATATCAGATTGCAATAAATAAACTCCTAGAACAATGAAAAATTGGCTATATTTCTTAATTGCATACACAGTTACTCTGCATTTTGCATAAAACAGAGCGGCGAAAATCTCTATAGCACGAAAAGATATGACCGTTTTGTCTGTTTATATGTACAAGAACTCTTAAGAGAACAGCATCCCAGTTTTGATCAGCAAACGACGTTCCCCAAATCCCCGCGATTCTTTTTGTCACTGTACACAGAGTAGAAAGAGAGAACTAAGTCGTCATTTCAAAATGAATACGTAAAACTGGGCCCAAGGTAAGAGTTTTAATTTTTCTTTTGGGGAAATTTTGTCTTGAAAACGTCTCTTTTTTCCAAGTTTTATAGTTGCAAGCAGTACATTGGTCATTACACTGTTTATATTGCATCCTCGGATTCTCCACAAATTCAGTTCAATGAATTGTGGTAGAACTGAAGCATTCTTTGTGAAGAGAAAACCTAAAAACCTCTCGATTTTTTTTCTCAGGGCAATCTATACCAATGCAACGTCTTTAACTGATGGCCTGATTTAAGAGATTTGCAGGAAGTGTTTGGTTCAGCTATGCAGACCATTTACATTATAAAGCTAGAACCCATAAGCAATACATGAACAATTGCGCCTTATTCGTATCTGTATTAAATATTATGTAATGAAAATTATTATTTATTATAATTATTATCATTTAAACGACAAAAAGATAACCCGAGATAAGCATAAAATAATTGGACATCTTGGCTGCAGTGCGCTGAAATCAATAAGATATTACATGAGTATTGATGATGAATTACCCATGGACACGAGACACGAACGATCACTAATAAGACGCTTTGAAATCAATTAACGACGCCTTTAAGCAGTTCGTATGTCCTGGATATAATTGATGATGCTGCATAGGCTGGGTCTAAAGCATGTTGTAAAGCAATCAGTGTCTTACTGTGGATTGATGATTATTCCCAAATAAAAATCAGCCACGCGCACAGCGTGGAGCATTTTCGTGGTGTCTGCTTTTACATGCGCAATTAATCGGAACAGCGGTCGTTCAGTTAAGGAAGCTACAATGTATAACAGTATACGTGCTCAATCTCGGCTTCAATTAGTTAATATTAGTATTTGTTGAAAACAAGTGGCATTTGACAATCCCCTGAAGATTTGTCCATATAACACGCACTGCAGAGTATTCAGAAAGAATCGTTTAAGTCTGTGCAGACCATATATTGAATAGGAAGAGGCAGACAAACCGTCCGTTATTTAATGATGTTTTTAATAGCTGATTATAATGGCTGCATTATAGTCCCACGCACAGGATGTTGGCTAGCGATGCGTTCAAAATGATTGAGAGCCTTATTAAATTAATACGACCCGTTCTTTTCAGATAACAAGGCAATGAACTAACTAACGCTCTGATGTGATGATTTCTCAGTGTTGGTACCAGAGGGGATTGGGGGCGGGCATGCATCGAGCAGGAAACATCAAGAAATAAATAATTAAAGAAAATATAAATAAATAAATAAATAAATAAATTAATAAACCAACAACTGTAGTGAAATAATATAAAATG